CAACCGTTGTCTATTGCCACCGGCGGTAGTGCACGTGACGTCACACACTCTATAACAAGCATAATACAAAGTTTTGTATACAAGTGTAATAATAGTAACAGTTGCAAATTGTTTTATTTAGACTATAAGTCTATGCTAATTCACAAATGACCTCAAACGCAATACACGGGCGTTTGATCCTTTAGATTGGCAGGTTTGAGCGCAGGAAAGTACAGTACAGAATACAGCATCCAACTACTACATCGCCAATCTGGAATCATTTCCATTCATGTCACCCATCCGCATTTGTACAAGTGTCTTCAAGTTCACGTGATCGCAAACGCTCGGCTGGTCAGGTTTGTATTTACTGCATTCGGTGTTTGAAACAAAAAAATATGAATTACCATTCTGAAGCATCCTGTTTTAAGCATGTTTGAGGAGGTGGTTGGTTGTCTCCTGTCGTCGCCAATTCGGGGTCTGAGTTCGGCTCAAACATGTAAGGCCGGACAACATTTCCCTCAGCCTACCCATCAGATTGTCCTACCAGGGTTTACTGCGCATACGCACATCAATATTGCGTCCTTTTTCTCAATTAGACAGGCCAAACTCGACCTGTTCTTTGCAGAGCTCCTGAGAGAGGAACTGTAAAAATATGTTGAGTTTTTGGTACTTATACCGCAAATATATATTCTTAAGGACATCAAGACTTAAAATAAAACTCCAGAAAGGTGTAAAATATGTGACCTTTAAAAGTAAAACCTTGGTTTGGTAAAACATGAACATTTACAACACTTTTTGCATTGTGAAGTGACCGTGATTAAAATGACATTTGAAACTATTTTTGGAATAAAATGGACAAATTTTCTGAGGATAATTGCTTAGCCAGCATTGTGTATTATATTATATATTTTTTGTTTAACAGCATTCTGTGGTGGAAATGACTGATGAAAATGACATTTTTATGAATAAAAGGGCTGCATTTAAAATGCTAACATTTTATGAATGCTAAATGTGATGATTAATATATATATAATAGAGTTTCATTGCTGTCATATTCTGTGGTGGAACTGACAGTGATGAAGAATGCATTTTTAACAGTTTTTGTTAAAAAAAAGGCTCTATTTTCTGATGCTATTTTTATAGCTAGCATTTAATGTATAGCTAGCATTCAACTTTTTTTAGTTGGAAAAATACCATTGTATGGTTTACTTGTTTGCATAATGCCAATATAAATGCATTTCCTTTCCTGAGTCACATGTACAGCAAAATGCCAACCAGTTGTTAATGGTGATGAATTCTCCTAGATTTGTGCCGCAGAGCACGTACATCCTCTCAAACAGACATATAGGTCTTGCCACTTGTAAAAAAGACACTAAAACTAGACATGAAATGTGGAAGTGCCATGTGACATTCCTCTGGATTTAATGGAGGAGGCCGTTAAACAGCAGGGAAAAGTTTTGTGTTAAAGTGCCGATGCTGAGCTGGAAAGACAGCACAGGAAGTTGCCATTCTGCTGTCTCAACCCACACTGTTGATGTGCATTTGCGTGGTGACACCCGCTGTTTTCAACTCTGACTTCACAAATTCCATTTAAAGACTGAATAACGCAGCTATAATTGGGATCTTTCTGTAGCTTCGTTCATTAGGGACGGCCCAGTCACGTGTTCATCCTGACCCAGAGTGCCTCAGCCATGCCCTTACATCTGACATGCAGCATTTTTCAGAGTGCTGTATCTCCTCATGAATATTTAATTAGAAGAAGACTGGCAGAGAGTGGCCTAAATATTCTGTCATGCCACCTCAAATCCGCAGGTGCTGGAATTAAAGGGAAAGAGATGCACAGAAGTGTTTTATCACTCTTCTTCTTGCTGTTTTTAGTGTAGTGATTGATAGCTCATCCCAAAATAATAATCTTAATTTTCTCATGTCATTGCAGACCAGTATGACTCTCTTCTGTGGAACATTAAATATGTGAAGAATCATTTTGGTGCTCTTTTCCAATCAAAAAACTAAGCAAGGACAAATATTCCATTTAACCCATGAACACATGCAGAAGTGTTTTTTTCACTGTTGTTGCTCTCAAATCCTATTTGGGGATATCTTTTTCTTTGTTATAGTTGAGTATTTGATTTAAATTTAAACACACACACACTTATATATATGTGTGTGTGTGTGTGTGTGTGTATATTTTTTTAACTTTCAGTTTGAATGTTGTTCGGAGGAAATAAAAAATAAACAATAAAATACAGAAAATAAAAATACAATTATTAATGTCAGAAATACAGAAGTTTATTCACTAAAAATCTGTCGTTGCTCTCAAATCTCATTTGGTGGTTTGTTTTTCATTGTAATTATTTATTATTGGATTTAAACTTAAAGCATGCATTCATTCATTTATTTTTATTTAGGGCTGCAACTAACGATTATTTTGATAATCGATTAGTTGTTGCAGCCCTATTTTTATTATTTCTTTTCATCTTCAATTTGTGCATTATTTGGAGCAGAATGTTGGCCAGGATATAGAAGGGGGGGGAAAAAACAGAAAATAAAAATACAATTATTCATGTCTTTTTTTTATCAGATTATATTATGATGAATTAAGTTAATAATCAAAATAATTGTTAGTTGCAGCCTTACTCTCATATTGCTTTTTTTGTCCTTTTTGGAGCTTTTGGATTCCTCAAATTTCATATTGTGTGTTCCACATTAGAAAGAAATTCATACAGGTGTGGAACAACATGAGGGTGAGCAAACGATGACCAAATTATCATTTGTTGGGTGTGAATTGCTGCTTCAAAGCATACTTCTTTGTCCCTTATTTTACACAATTTAATGCACATGTAAATTTATGTTGTGTGCATTTAAAAAAACAAAGTGTGCAGAACAAGTCTTTATAGAAAAGATTAAAATAATGATAACTTTGTACCTGAACTTTATGGAAAGCGCGTTAGAGTTAGTGTTGCAGTCATGTTCTTGTTTACCTGTGCTCCTGATGATTTGAGCAAGCGTTCTCTGTTAAATGCTCCCATGGACTGGAGTTGCACTAATTTGGAGTCTCTGGGAGAAAGATAAAAGCTTCAAGATTGTGTCATCCTGTCTGGTTCTGTTCTCCTGCTGTCAAATCAAAAGAACAGTCCAGGAGCTTCAGAAATCTCTTTGTTGTTTCCTTCCCAGTTTGGGCTTTTTTAAAGCAAGAGAGCATCTATGAACTTCAGGAGAAGCTCTGAGGAATTCCCTGCTGGGGGCATTGACTTGATGGATCAAAGCTACTTTGAATAAGCTTGGTTTCAGCAGTCCACGGTTTCCGTTATGAGCAGTGCATGGTCTTGGACTTAAACAAGCCCACATGCTGCATCACCGCTAAATCTCAGTTCACTTAAAAAAAAAAAAACATACTAGAGATTTTCAGGATTTTCCACATGCCTCAGTCTATAGGTTGAGTTCGCCTCAGGCTTACTTCCTTGGGTCAATCTCATGTTAAAGTCTCAAGATTTAATTTTTCAGTTTCCAACTTGACTGTCTATATACTTCAGAGTTATTATGAATACACATTGTTAGGCCTTCATGCTTGTTTTTACACCTTAACTATTGTTCTTCTGCTGTTTTCTGTGTTCTTTTGTATTTTTAATTTTATTTCTTTATTTTTAAAGCTTCTCTATTCTTCACTGAAGTCTCTACTCCCTGAAACAGCACTACTGTCACCCTGGTTATTAATACTTTAGCTAGAAACAGCTCTATCTGAAAAAATTATTCATTTGAGAACATGAACATGTACTATGCTTTTGCAGAAATTTTCTCAATGGGTGTAAGTGCATTGCTAGGTGGTTTCTAGGATGTCCTGGGTGGTTGCTAGGTGTCAAAAGTTAAGAGAGCCCACTCTTAAGTATGATAGTCTGATCCCTATATATGACGGGGGGGGTTCTCCATTGCAAGTGTTATTGTATGATTATTATTATTTTACATTTGGAAATTTTTTATTTTTGTGTATTTTATTTTATTTCTATAATTTTATTTTAGTATTTATTTGTTGCAAAAGAACATTTTTAAAAAAAATTTTAATAAATTTTTTTTTAATAAAATTTTTAAATGTACTTACATTTCTTCTTCTTTATTAGAATAGATTTATTATTTAACTTAATGGTTTTATTTATTTATTTATCTATCCAAAAGGTGAAATCATTAGTCTGATCACTTAAAGTAATAGCAGACCTCTCCTCAACCAGCTGCATGAGTTAATGTGTCATTTTTGCGTAGAATGTGGGCTGTGAGTTATATGGTAAAATTATGGGATTGTTCACATCTGTAAACCTAGGTATGATAGTAACGCTCTAATTCTTTGCTTAAATTCTTCTTTGCATTGTCTTCTCTGTGTGTTGTAGGCACACTTTCTGGCAGTACCGCAAAGAGAATCCCAAGTCCCATGTGGGTGACCCTCCACCAGATGGTCTGCCCGGCTTCAACAGCGGCGTAATGCTTCTGAAGCTTGACGCCATGCGTCACTCTACCTTATACAACCAGCTTCTGGAGCCCGAGCGGGTGGCTCGCCTCGCGGAGAAATACCACTTTCGGGGGCACCTGGGCGATCAGGATTTCTTCACAATGATCGGGATGGAGCACAGGGAACTCTTTTACCCACTTTCCTGCGGCTGGAACCGACAGCTTTGCACATGGTGGAGGGAACACGGGTATGGTGACGTCTTCCAGCTGTACTATCACTGCGATGGGCCGGTGCACATCTACCACGGCAATTGCAACACTCCCATACCTGATGACTGAGGTTCAAATTGCATCTTTGAATGCTAACTTTTCGATTAAACTCATTTTGTTTGCACATCTTTAACAAACTTTAAATCAAGTGGACCGAGGCAGAAGGGGCTCATTGTTAGAGGTGCTAATAGTGTAGCATTCCCATGACTAATCACATTTACACAATATAATCCAGCCATTACCACATGAATCATTCATTTAACACCACTGAGGCTGTTGGCGCCTTTCCAAAGTTACTAAAAGTCTCTGACTTAAAGGGATAGTTCACTCAAAAATGAAAATTACCCCATGATTTACTCACCCTCAAGCCGTCCTAGGTGTTTTATGACTTTCTTCTTTCAGACAAACACAATCGGAGTTATATGAAAAATGTCCTACGTCATCCGCTGGAACACCATTCTCTCGTGAACACACGTACAGTACGACAGTTAGCGGAAACTAGAGATTACGGTTTATATAAAGTTTTAAATATTTATATTTTTCTCACACAAATGCATCACTTAATTTCAGAAGGCCTTTATTAACCCCCCGGAGCCATGTGGAGCACTTTATATGATGGATGGATGCACTTTTTTGGGCTTCAAAATCTCGACCCCCATTCACTGCCATAATAAAGCTTGGAAGAGCCAGGACATTTTGTAATATAACTCCGATTGTATTCGTCGGAAAGTGGAAAGTCATATATATCTAGGATGGCTTGAGGGTGAGTAAATCATGAGGTAATTTTCGTTTTTGGGTGAACTATCCCTTTAAATACCAGTTGTTTTTCTCTATTTAAATAATGCAGTGCGGCTTTGACTCTCAGTAGTCTGAGTTTCCTCATGCAGGTGTCTCATCAAATCGCTCTTAGACAGCAGGGAAGGAGCCAATCAGAGAGTCTTTTCCTCACGTTAAAACTTTTATTGTTTACAGGTGCAGTTGCACTCTTGCAGTCACATTGAGGTGGCGCTTATCTTCCTAATGCATTATTTAAAAAGTGGAGAGAGCTGATGTGTATATTTTTACTGGTTTTATTTTCAATGCAATGCGTTCCCACTTTAAGCCACATTCTCCACTTCATTCCTATGTTTTTATGCAGCGATGAAAGCAGGGTGGAAAGGGTTGTTGACCCACTTTCCTGAGTTTTTATGCGCTGATGTTGGAAATCCGTTTTCTCTGTGATGTGCAACTGAATCGCCTTAGAACAGCCAAGATAGCATCTAGAACATCTGATCAGTGGTCTCATCTAGAAAACATTCTTGCCGAGGTGCTCTGATCCGCCTGAGAAATGTGGAAGTGGGATTTGCTGGAGAATTTCAAAGAGAACAGCCTCTGCCTTGAGGGGGATATACACTAGATTTCGAGGGTAGAGCACTAGCTGTTGTGGTTGGCTGGCATTTATTGAGCGATGTTGCTGCGAAACTTTGTGGGATTGTGTGAAATGCTCGTAATAACCTGTGCAATGTCAAATCAGCAGGCGGAGAGAAAGAACTTATAATGAGGCCTCAACAAGTGTTGGCAGGCAGCCATGAAATCCTACGTCAAGCTCTTCTGTGTCCAGTTTTGTGAGGTTAAGCGTCTTTGGGATTTTCAAAGAATTCGTTTTTTGTTTTGTTGGGAGTGCGGTCATGCTTTGTCTAACCATTTTAGACCAGCTTTTGCCTGATCAAGTTAAAAGCAAAATGTTTAAAGGGGTCATAGGATGCCCATTTTCCACAAGTTGATATGATTTTAAAATTTCTCAATGGTAGTGTAAAAAACAGCTCGATTTGAGAAAGGGGAAAACATTTAACCAGATTAAAAAAAAAAAAAACACTGGGTGGATTTTTATCATTATAGGGTGGTTGTGTACACACACTGCCAACACACATTTCAGTTCAAACAACTTGTAAAAGTGCATGTAGCATCCTATGACCCCTTTAACTAATTAACCACATCACATGAAGTATTCACGCTTTTTTCCTGTTTTCTTTCTTTTGTATTAATTTTCATTGGGTCTCATTCCTGAAAGATGAGCAAGGCATATTTCGGTGTAAATCTCAATTTGTACGTTATCGTTCAAAAGTTGGGGGTAGGCAAGATTTGTAATTTTTTTTTGTCTCTTATGATCACCAGGGCTGCATTTATTGATCAAAAATACAGTAAAACGGTAATATTGTAAAATATTATTAAAATTTAAAATAACTTTTCTCCTTGAATATGTTTTAAAATGTAGAAACATTTCTTATTATTATCAATGTTGAAAACCGTTGTGCTGCTTAATATTTTTTGTGGAAACTGGTACAATTTTCTAGGATTATTTGATGAATAGAAAGAACAGCATTTATTTGAAATAGAAATAGGAATATTTTTCACTTTTGATCAGTTTAATGCATCCTTTCTGAATAACAGTACGAATTTATTTATTTAAAAAAAAATCTTACTGACCCCAAACTTTTGAACGATAGGCTCATAAAAGACTCTAAATTGTTGCATGCAATTCACAGCAACAGTTGGTTATATGAACGACACCGAATCATATGTGTATTTTGTGTTTACCTAGTTTTCCATGAACATTTTGTTTTCCAAAGGAATCTCTCAGGGAAGACTGATAGAATAAAACAAGTTTTAGTATAAGGAAAATTTAATACAACCTCCACAAGCTAGACTTCTATATAGTACAGGTTATTCTTTCTAAAGATCCACCTGTTTGTTGTTCAATTTTGAGTGTTGAATGTAAAACACACACTTGTTGTGTAATATATGTTGTGTCATAGAAATTGAATGTATTAAAGCTAATGAACAGAATTCCAGAAGTGAAGGAAAATCACATTTGTAATGTATCTAATATACCGTTCTCTCCATGCAAATGTATTGGTGGTCTGAATAAAATTCCTTCTATTTCTTAAGATCCTGTTACATTTCTCTCTTTATGCATTAAAAATGAGCAGTAGTCTACATGTTTTTGCATGTTGTAGTATTGCTATATCAGTTTCATTTTGAAGTGGAGCTCTCACAATTTTTAGATGGCTCTGCAGTTGAATATCCAGGATGGGTTTCGCTTATTGGATCAAGCATCCTTACGTGTTGTGCGGAGGCCTGTGTCCTTTATCCCAGTTCCAATTTTCACAGCATTGTCTGAGCTGGCAGTGTTTTGCAGCATGAGTGTCGAAGAAATCAAAGTGGTGTTGTGACCTAAATTCTGTCACCTCACAACACAATCATGATTTTCTTCCTGTTTGTCAGCTGCTTCAGAGAATCTTCTTTTGTCCCATTGCTCTTATGCCCTTGTGTTGTTTTTTGGAGTCCTGTATGTACATGATTTATGTATAAAGCATCTCAGAGTGGCAGTCCTGAAAGATCTTAAGCAGTTAATGTCATTAAATTATGATTAAAATTAACAGCAGAATTGAGGGTTAACCCCCTGACCTCCCCAAAAGATTGCAATTCAACTATTTCCTGGTTCGTTTGGATTGAATCTATCCCTGATCCTTGTGTCATGATACTGTTATGTTGTCTGTAGTAGTGGGAACTATAGATGTTTGCATTTTTTGAAGACAATGTGGATTTTGCTCACCTCTGCTTAACTTGTCGCCAACTTTGTTGGAATTTGCACAACAACTTTCCCACTTTTTGCTATTGTGTTCTGAATGGTTTCTAGGTGGTTGCTAGAGTCTGATATTATACGTTTTTTAATTTATCAGGCGATATTGGTTTTAATTGTGCAGCTCATTTCCTCTATAATCTAAAGCTCACTTTAAGTTAATCTTTAAAAACAATTATTTAAAAAGACGTATGGTAAATGTATGGCTTAGAGTCAGCAAGATTTTTTTAATAGAAATGAATAGGTACTTTTATTCAGTAGGGATGCATTAAATTGATGAAAAGTATCAGAAAAGAATTTCACGTTGTTACAAAAGATTTGTATTTGAGAAATGTCCTGATGAAATCTTATTGAATTGCAGCGCTACCTAACATCAAGGGGATGTAAGAAAAGACAGGATGCATCCCATTGAGAATTGGTTAACAAGGTTTGAACAGAAAGTGAGAGTAAATGAATGTACAGTAGGACAATATATAAGATATTAGATATCAAACTGTGTGCTATTATTCTTCTAAGAGTGATCTGACTTTTTTTGATTGAACTCAGACTAGGCACCAGAACGTTATGAAGACAGATGTGCTCTTTTGAACATATTTAGGGACCATTTAGGGACATAATCGAATTTATAATGCAATGATGCATGTGTCCCATGTATGTTTTAGCTGTTTCAATTCAAGAAACACTCATTCTTAGGGTGTTTGACTTGTGGGAAGTGTTGCCTTCCACTTGTATGCTACATATTTTCAGGACCTCTGAGGGCGAATTCTCTGCAAATTCAGCAGTCCTTTTTTGGAAAGTCAGTTAGCCATGTGATGAATATCATTGGATTCCTGCCAGATGAAATGAAAGAAGTGCATTCTGCCTGAAATTGAGTTTCAAAAATGATGGTCCAGGATAATGATGTTAAATTACCCGGGTGTGATATGCTTCCATGAACTTTATGCCCAGCCAATGATGGAAGTCATTCTGTGCCGTCTTTAGACAAAGCCCGATTTTTCTTACCCTTGTCACTCATTTAAATACGACAGGTTTTTGGATAGATACTGGTGAAGTCAACATGAAATGATGTCTTCAACCTTTTTTAATAATACAATGTGATATAACAAGAAAAAATGTAGGACAGGGCATCATTTTATCCATCTGGAATTAGATGGATCCTGATGATTGAAGGGGAGATTTTTCTCTTCTCCCAAAAAGAAAAGTTGTAAGATATTGTTATACACAAATTACTACTTCAGCAAAGACCTATTAAATTGATCAAAAGTTACATTTATAATAATTTTTATTTTTAAATAAATGCTGTTCTATTTAACTTTTTATTCATCAAAGAGACCTGAAAAAAATGTTTCACAGTTTTGACAAAAATATAAAGCTGTTTTAAACATTGATAATAAGAAGACATGTTTATTGAGCAGCAAATCAGCATATTAGCATGATATCTGAAGTATCATGTGACACTGAAAACTGGAGTAATGATGCTAAAAATTCAGCTTTGAATCATGGAATAAATTACTCAAATCATAGGAATAAATTATTTTTAAATTACTTTTAAAATATATTAAAATAGAAAAGTTATTTTAAATGGTAATCATTTTTATAATATTACTGATTTATTATATTTTAAATCAAATAAATGCAGCCTTGATGAGCATAAGAGACAAAAACATTTAAAAAAAATTGTACTGACCCTAAACTTTCGAACAGTAGTGTAAA